ACAAAAAAAGATATATCTGCGAAACAGATACAGTCCGCGTCAAAGTAACACGGGTATACATCGCTGTTTGATACTCTGTCACCCTATATCCTTATAACCTGTCTAATATTAGTATCGGTAATTCACGGTGTGATATGGGAACAGTGTACCTAGATACGACATTAGTATTGTACTCTGTGATCCCTCGGGCACAGGCTGTGGATTTGTTTAAACTACTTACTCTGTGTTCGTTACTGAACACTCAAAGTGTTAAGGAATATTAAATTACTTTCTGATTGGAATTTTCCAAGGAGTTCTGCGATTAAGACATATTGTCAATTTGATTATTCTCTGGTTCATATGTTTTAAAGTTAGGTGAATTGAAGGTGAAAACAGTGCATTGATGCCATTACGCCTGCTTTCATAAGAAAGAGCATTATTGTTTTTACCGTCAAAATCAACCAAATGCGTTTTTTATTTATGGAACAACCACTTTCATTTGATGTCGAATTTTCAATACTTAATTCTATCTTAACGTCAGCCTTCATAATAATAAACTATTATCACAATATTCAGAGATGTTTCCATTTACACTGGAGTTTGCTACTAGTAATTACATTTATAGGATTTCGTTCTGGTAATGTACGAAATGACATGAATTAATTGTACACTCATATACATATGTGTGTATATACGTTTTACAAAAGATATTGATACAAGGTCGCTAGTGTAGGCAATACTAATTACTGATCGCACTGAGTGCTAGCATTCTTTACAAGCACCCTGTGACGGAAACACATGTCGTTCTGCTTGACTCCGTCATTGACATAAGGTATAAGTCATGGCTACGGTTTATTCAATCAGTAGTGTGAACAAATTAACAATCACATAACCATCGTAGAGTGACATATGTATCCTGTGTTTTGAACGGAAACTAGAAGTAACGTCTTTGTTCCGTTTGTCATTTCGAAGGTTCTTAGTGAGAGTGAGCGAAAATAAAATTCCGGAAGCCACTTTACTTATTCATGCGGATCGTGTAATGAACCCATGGTATAGGTTAGAAATTACACACAAACATGCAAATCTCGGGCGTAACGTCGAGATAAACCAAGCTAATAACAACTATTTTTTTATTTTTTTGTTTTGTTTACATTTTATCAAATCATGAAGGAATACATTTAAGTACATGTGTGTGCATGACCCTCTTTTTGCGGCAAATGCGAATGAAAAATACATGTGTATATATGGCTCGTCGATGATAAACAGGAGAATGCTTTACATGTATAGCCAGATAAGGTAAAACACTTCCGCAAGGATGTGGTGCCAATGAATAAATCACATTGGTTTATTCGAGTTGCGCCAGGTTAATATCATGGCGTTCATTCCGTTGTTTTGAAAGTATGTATACGCAAAATTTTATCAGTATTAGAAATCATATACTTCCGGAAAATGTCTATCAAAAAATAAATCGGCTTTTACATGCAACCGGAAATACATATCACTCGCAATGATATTAGTCATTAAGCAGACCCCGTTCGGCTTGAGGACCATAAATTCTTTATCGACATATATATATATACAATTTGTCTTGTATGTTTTTTCTATATGTGTACAACATTAGAACGAAAGCGTCGTTTTTCCAAGGTTGCTCATATCTCTATTATCTTTATATCATCCACAAGGGCAGTTTTTATGACTCTGTCATGTCCTTTATCATTATCTTTTATATCAAATCAGAAATCAACTGAATTTGAATTGAAGATCTTTTTGCCTCAGAATACATAGTCAATAATTGTCCTAAACATTTATTACTAAGCAGTCGCGTCCCGTATCAATATCATTGTTGTTCACACTTACTTCACCACATACTGTATTCTAGAGGATATTTTATGCTGAAACCATTAGTAGAGGTCCTAACAAGGGAGGTCTAGAAGATGTTATTTCTATATTGCTACCTGAGCACTACCTTTCCTAACTGGATTCAAACCTGATGAGTAAATTACAAAACATACTATCACTGACTCGAATTAGATAATTAGGATGTAAACTATTACGTCCATAATGACAGAACAGTTTGGACCGATAAGTACCACCTGATTACTTTGTTCGGCGAGACTTCTGACGGGTTTATCCCATGCATTATCACGGAATTACAGGGATTCAAAACAAATGCCGTCGTTGCTTATTCACCGATTGCTGTCTGCTATATAAGAGGATACTTAGCCACTCGCCTTGACCACTAACGAACATAGCCAACAAAGTCTCGCAGCAAAAACAAACACTTCTGTTATAACGGTTTATTAGAATTAATGAATTTTCTTTCCCTATCGTCATTCTAGGATTTTTATTTGGTCTGCCCGGCTCCTGGTGCTGCCCTCGAAGGGGAATTCTGTTAATTAGGACCGGCGGGAGACTTTGATCTTCATAGAATAATACCATGAAAGCTAGGATACGCCAATACTGTATGATTACCATATTGAGTTAAGATCTTCTCAACGAAATTCACCAACCTATTTATGGACAGACAAAATGATGTTATATCGATCAAGAAGACTCTCTTTCTCTTGTATAATTTCATCCGTTGATGTTTAATTGCTTCAAAAGGCTTGAGGTTGTGCGTGACTGGTCCCCATTATTCGTAAGGCCCGTTAGATACAAGACGCGTAGGGCCAAAACTCTGCTGCAGTGTGTGAACGTGCCGTGAAGACTTCGACAGATCTGATGTGATTTCTCCAGAACGGCGCGGGAGGTTCCGCTACATCAATATATACAAAACATATGCAAACGTAACACAACTGAGTGAATTTATTGGATTATGTATGGTATATCGCCTTCTAGGCATTCTTTGTCGTGCTTCAATGCTAAATCTATAAAAGTCCATTAACGTGAGAAATGCATAAAGAACACACTGCCATATGACAAGTTTGTATTGTACATGAGTTTATTACCCATAGGTTTTTGTTTCAGAATGGGCTATTAGCATGACATAGAGATGGTATCACGCACTTTTACTAGTGGTAATCATGCAGTGTTACTCAAATATATCCCTAACTGTCCCACACCCAAGTGCACGATTTGCATCTTAACATCTTTCTCATTTATTTATAACTAGATAAACATTTATACATCCTATTGATTTTTATCGCCGTATCAGAAGTTATTGCCACTGACGAATTGAAATAAAAGTGTAAATTATGTACTAGTGACAGGGGTCACGAGGTGATTGTAAGAACAAAGTTCTAAAAGTTGACACGGGGCATCATGAGTGTCAGCACCATGTGGTTCCGGAAACAACCGCCTTGAAAAGCACGTGGTCATAACCTCTTCTATTTATATCGTTGTTGTTTCCATGGTATTGTTTTTTTTAAATCAAATAGCTTTTAGTTTCAATATCGTTCTAATTAATGTAGTGCTACGTTTCTTAAAATGTGAACATAACTGCTAGTTGCTTATCTATGAAGATATGAAATCAACGAACAGCGATGTAGATCATATGAAATAAATAGAGATAAAAAAAACCTTCGGATAATTCGTCACATGATTAATATCTCAAGCTGTGAAGATTTGTGCACAAAGATTATAACATAATTTGATAGTTATGCATTGATATGTATAGTGCTCGTTGTTTCTGTATTTTAATAAAGACAAACTTCAACCAAAAATGTTTCTTTGATGAGTAAGCGCTCTTAACAGTTTAAACATATAATTTGAAAATATCAAAACGATTCACAAATGTTTGAAATACATATGCATGTATACTAATTTATATGGTAGATAAAAATGCCAATGATAATATAGGTATTCATCTTGATGAAGAATCAGTACTGACAAAGCTGCTGACGCGAACCTTGTATGATAAAACCTAACAGAAGTCGTAACTTAATGTTTTCCCTAGAGGATCGGTAAACATCCCTTCAGTTCTGCATTAAAATTATCAATATTAATGTTCTTTGAAGAAAAAAAACTTAGGCAGCTATATTAATGATATTTGTCTTCAAATCTTGTAATCCTGCATGCCTGCACTTTAAATAATATAATTATCTTCAAAATACAAATATTCTTGAATGGATGACATATCAAATTTCTTTACTTGCAGCAAAGATCTTGTTTCTTCGTTTCATATCCACTTTATATAAAACTTTATTCACCAATTCAATATTCTAGCTTCGAGGCGTACATGAAAAATTGAATAAGGATTATAAAGTGAAGGTACTTGGCACGCATTCCGAGGAAAACTAATTCTGTAATATTTTATTTTGGCTTTGGTAGTTATTTAGTTGCCTTATTAAGTTGTTGGAGCAATATGGGCGAAAACATGCCGAAAACTAGTGCATTAAATTCCTACGATATATTTTATAATCTAGCTGTGTGGTTATTTCTTAGAGGATTCAATTAAAGCAAAATATTGGATGTTCGGATTTCTCTAACATTGTTTTGTAGAAGAAATGTACTGTGAACTATTAAACCCAAACAGCACTGCTTCTGGTTATTCATTCTTCATATCAGATTATAGAATTACGACGGGTAAGAGGCCGAAAATATCAGATGTGCTACCTGTACATATCAATAATGCCTATACGGCGCCATGTTACATGTGTCAAATGGTAATATTGTAGTGAAAGCCATTACGAGAATGCAAAAGTCATCTTAATAGAAATAGAAATATCAGCAATATTTTTATACCACTCGTTCAGTAGGCGTAAATTCTTTCAGATGTACTTTGAAACTGGAATTGGCTTTTTTATAGAACAACTTTGCTGTGCGATATTTCCTTGAATTTACACGAGTATTCATGTTAACGAGCAGTTCGACAGTCTGGGGTTAATCCATTAAACCTTTGTATTGGCCATGCTGCCTACTGGAGGTGACTAGTGTTGTATTTGTAGGGCAGTATTAGTGTATAAAATTGCCTGCCTACAAAATACGCAATATTTCAGGGATATTATCCTGATTAGAGCCCGTGCCTATTCATTAATTTCCATCAAGATACTTATTTATAGGTCGTTGTTTTTGTTTTCCAGCGCTGTCTGACACGGAAGACGCTGTAGAGGACATTCCGATTAATGTAACTGTGGCCGAGGGAAAGACAGCTATCCTTCCTTGTCGAGTTGACGACGTGTATGACGATCAAATGGTGAGTGAATCAATAACACCCCATATACATATAGCATGAGAAAATTAAAAACAGTCATTTTCTTATATTTCAACGAGTTGATCTCTGACCTACATGTAGCTGGTAAAGAGTACATGAAAGATGATACATGTTTGTTTGAATAGTTTTGTGAATAACGTTGATCATATGGAGCAGAAAAAAAAATAAAGACTTACATTGAACAGATCCAATTCTCAAATATTCTTACGTCTCGCTCTTGCATTAATTCGACCTATTAAGCTCATATGAAATTGTTCTAGTTTCGCGTCATAAGAATTTGATAAAGTTGTAAGATAATGCACTAGCCATATCATATACACAAAAGCATGACAAGGCGACGCTTGTTTCTTCTCAAATTATAATACCGGTTCTATTTATGAAATTTCTCTCCTTTGTCTTATTCTCAGAGAATTTACGACAATTACTTCTTTAATTAAGATTAATTACATGTTTCACAGGGAAATGAGATTAATTATATATTTTTTTTATTTCTTTTATGCCCGACATATCAACATCATCTAATTGTTTCGTGATTATCAATAGGTCAATGACACCAACCTCGTTAATTGAACCTGTGAGGCCTCGATTCAGGTAGAGGTAACGGCGAAATATCAACCTGGAGTTTTAAAACAGGTCAAAATGAAGAAAAAGTCTTAAACGTAATACAGGTTAATGAAAACTGTATTAAGTTTGTATTGGTGTCCACCCAATGTCATTACGCATTATTTGTGTTTGTAATATGAAATTTATTGCGTCGGAAATGCAAAGCATATCTGGTTATCACGTGTTCCTTCACTAATTCTCATTTTGAGAACGTGACATGTCTTACATTGGCCTAGATGTTCAAAGTAAAAATCATCAATTAAAGTATACTCTTGTCTGATAGCGTCCCCGTTGAATATTTCTTTTGCCTGTGTTATGTGTTTTATTGATGTCAAGTTTCATTGTGCTTCGCATTTGTTAAATGCTGAATTTTTGCAAATCGTCCGACCATCATCACCACCTCTCTGACAATATTTGGCATAATATTTACACGTGTTTAGAGCTCTCATTTTGTTGCACTAATCTTATCTCTATCTTGAAAATTTCTTTTCTATCATGCCTACTTAAAGTTTTTTTTTATGTGTGGGTCTTCTGTATGTTGTCATTTATATCTGTCGTCCGTCCTATGTTTCACTGTTTTTGTTTTCTTCCAATCCTTTTTATAACACTTCCAGTTTTAGGTGAGTTTTTCTTCCTGTGTACTGTTGACTTCTCTGACGTCTTTAGACATCCAAGTCACGGTTACTCTCTCTGTAGGCGTTAGTTTAAGAGCAGTTGCATTTGCATTGACTATTAAGTATATCTGTTAACAATGCACTTTTCATTCGTTAGAGTAATGGCAAGATTGAGAACATCCACATATACTTTAAGTACTTCTAAAATGAGCAGCTTTATGAAAAATACGAAAGTTATATCATTATGAGGCTATTGTCTCTCCCACATCTAGATTTTTGCACTTTGCATTTCCCCATGTCCGTCGAATGATTCTAACTGTAAATCATTGTCATTACTGACGATGCCGGGGAGGGGAAGTTTTATGGTGCAGTTTAAATTCACTATTTTTCCCTACAATATCTAATCCTAATGTCTTATTCAACAGTGTAATTCACTTGTACGTCTCTTGTACCATCTTCAATGTACCAATATTTATTGAGTGCATGAATTGCATTTTAAAACGAAATCCATATCGGTATGATACCTACAAAGCTAAAGTAAACTATGTCAAAAGCAACATTTGAAACGTATTCTGTTTGATATGTCCGATGTTTAAATGAATTACAAATTTTCTATGCAATTCAAATAAAAAATTACAAATTTACCTATATATAACATTGGAAGAATTGATGTTTGATTAGAACGGAGAACGCATACATATTCCTCAACTGTATGAGGGTAATACAGCAAATTCACAGCGCGTGCTTACGAAATGCCTCCCTAATTGTCTATACGCTGTTACTTGTTCAGTGCATAACCAGTCAGAGTCATAATATAACCCAGACTACAGCTACACAAGACGAAAATTATATATGTTGGAAACATGCAGATGATGACACGCAATACCCCCTTCATATTTTCCAATCAGTCACCCTGTAGAATCGATTAGTTCCCCAAAATCCCTAACGCAAAAAATTAATTGACGACAAATCTTGGATCATCGTAAGCTTGATCGTATTGATCAACACTGTATATGTACAAGTCTTTGTCAACTCGACAGAACGATAGGTGCTCTATTGCATCATATTGACAAAGGATATTGACTTCTGGTTTAGCAATTACTCTACGTAATTCCCAAAAGCAAAGCATGAGCTAAGGTTTAGCAGTCTATCTGTTATGAAAACAAATGGCCAGGACGGTCTTGATTCGTCTGTCATTAAGATATAAGAATGGGCATAGAAATGTCAGATTTTCATCCTGTTTCCAGTAAAGTTAAGAACAAGTCTCAACATTGCACTAATACCCTATCAAAAGAAAACGGCTCAACTGTTGTTTCCTAAGAAAACATAGCTAGAGATGGTTTTCAATAATGATTGAAATCTCCCATGATAGCGCGCGCTACACTGACTAGCAGACGACAGGAATATCGACTGCTGCAAGACCTCTGAGCGAAACAGTGGTGTGTTGAGTTTGACAGCTACAGCAGTCTTACCTTCGCTGTTAATCAAGATTGAAGCCCCTTTGTTTGTTTTTAATATGCACGACGAATATACAAACTGAACCGTGATCGGTTGTAAAAAAGAAACGAATTCGACGATAAGCGATTCCAAATTATTGCAAGCACTGTAGAAAAACAGAAATGTCGAATCAATTCCAAATCGTTTTCTTCTTAAATATAAGAAAATGTTATTTCCATTTTTGTCATAACTGTCTCGAAAGAAGACAGACGAGAAAGCATTTTCCTTTTGATCGTGTTTTACTGATGAGAAATCCCGCTGGGGTTAATCGAATATGTTGATCTCTATTTAGTTTTTTTTATAAACGGCGAAGCCTTTCTTGCTTCAAAATATTTGTACATTCTGATCACATGTTGTTACTGCTTCTTGCCTAATGTCGTTTATAAACCAAAACGACATGTGATTTTTTTAATCGAAAGGATGAATTTGCTCAGCATGCACATAGTACAATGGTACTTTAGGAAATGGAATCAAGAACCGTAAAGGAAAGATGATGGACATGAAAGAATAATCTATTAGTGTTATTAGTCTGCTCTAAACTTACAGTTGTGGTAACGCACAACTCCGTGCGCAAATCATGCATACATCCTACTCGCACACGCAGTATCGCGATATGAGTGTACATTTTGTTAGGTTTGGTGAAATGGCCGGTTCATATTTCGGATTGAAAATTAAACGGAAATTTCGTGAAGTAATTACTAAATTGCGATCACATGAAAATGAAGATTGTTCAGGGAATATAAATATAGTTCGAGAGTTTTCGAAAAATAACACTGGACCGGTATTAATTAGTCTTATCGTCGTTAGTTTCACAGTGACGAGTAGTGGTGCGTGCAACCACCTGTATACGGGTATGTACGTGACAAGTCCAGATCCGTATCGGCTGGCTCGTCAGTGTAACAAACAGGACACTTAAGATTTACCCGAGCATATATTTTTTGTTTACAAAATGAAGGGAAAATAGGAATAATACAATGTAATGAAAATAAAATTCCCATTCTGAGTTTTAAATGATACATTGCTGTGACATAAAGAGACGTCCATTTAATGTTTACATATATAATGTATATATAATGTGTATCCGTACACTAAGGGCTTGTCACGTTTGGCTCTTTTTAAACTAAACACTTAAGATTACAAGTGTATCTAACTATTGTGTATCTGATATATCTACAGGTGTCCAAGCTATATATTAATGGCTTAAATAGAAAATATACTAAGTTGTATTCTTACATATTTAGAACATAAATACACCTTATCCTATATTTCTTTTAAGTAATATGTATTTTTTTCAGCCAGAATCGCATATTTGTACGATAGAACACACTACGTACGCACATATATACAATAGCATATTTCGTTTAGTTTTCCTATCGTGCACACATCGCACATCGTGTAACATCGCACATCGTGTAACAAAGCACATCGTGTAACATAGCACATCGTGTAACAAAGCACATCGTGTAACATAGCACATCGTGTAACAAAGCACATCGTGTAACATAGCACATCGTGTAACATAGCACATCGTGTAACAAAGCACATCGTGTAACATAGCACATCGTGTAACAAAGCACATCGTGTAACATAGCACATCGTGTAACATAGCACATCGTGTAACATCGCACATCGTGTAACATAGCACATCGTGTAACATCGCACATCGTGTAACATAGCACATCGTGTAACATAGCACATCGTGTAACATCGCACATTGTGTAACATAGCACATCGTGTAACATAGCACATCGTGTAACATGGCACATCGTGTAACATGGCACATCGTGTCGCACATCGTGTAACATCGCACATCGTGTAACATCGCACATCGTGTAACATAGCACATCGTGTAACATAGCACATCGTGTAACGTTGCGATCTCACGATTGTGCAATACATTAAAAGATTTTAACATTTTGCAATATGCATGTACCATCTACCGTGGTTGATGGGTGATATGAATCATATCATATTACAAAAGTTCAGATGAAATACAAGCATTTTCTTGATGGAGATGCTTTAATATGATCCAAGGACAATATTTCTTATGATAATAATTCTGTGGACCTCTATTTCTGCACAATCAGTATTGAATTTAGGATAGTAAATACCAATTGCCTTTTTACATCAATACAGCCTTAGACCACACTGATTAAACTTCAGTATCGTTTTTGTCTACCTATCATTCCAAGCCCATACGTACCACACCTTGTACCGTCCAGGTGCGTGACTACACTGGACTACATTTTATCTACATTCTAATCTACA